CATTAATAATCTTTTCATATTATTATTTTCCAGAAGCACTAAAAAAATTCACTGTTTTCTGAGCAAAATATCGTTGGATAAAATTTGCACAGAAAATTGTGTCAAAATCATTTAAATTCATCAAAATATGCATTTAAAATTGCTCCTGGAAAATAATAAGAAAAATTTTCTTCTTCTTCTTTCATTTCAGCCCAGCGCGGCCCAAGACGCACTGAAAACTGGCTCGGCCCAGCTGTCCTCGCGCGCACAGGCCGCACCCAGGCCGCAACCTGGGCCTGGGCCGGCAAAGCGCCGTGCTCGCTCACGCCCGCCTGGGCCGGCGACGGCCCGAGGATCCGTGGCCGTTGGTTCTGATCGGACGGTCGCGCGCCGTCTTCGGCCGGATCAAAACCAACGCCGCGCCGGTGCCGTGGAAACCCTAGGTCATTCGGCTCTTGCTCTCTCTCTCTCTCTTCTTCTTCGCCACTCTCTCTCATCTCTCTTTAGCCGCATCGGCGAGCCACAACCGAGAGCGAAGGAGCGACGAGCGAGCGGGGAAAGCAGAGCGGGCGGCCATGGTGAGCCTTGGCATCGTCGTCGGCCCCCTCGCCGGCGCGCGTGCTCTCCAATGGGTGAGCACGCCGCCGTCGAGCGGGCTGGCCGCGATGCTTCCTTGGCCGAACCCGGCGAGCCCGCGCCCCCGGCTCGGCTTCTTCTCCCACGCCGATGAAAGGTTCATCTGACGCACCCTAACCCTAACGCATTTTCCCCTTTCTGATTTTGAGTTGTTCTTTTCGGGTTTATCCGAATGGGAAAAAACTAGGGTTAGGGTTAGGGTTCGTTCTTGCCGATTCGTTTTCTTTGCTTTCGTTTCTTTCTTTTCGTTCATCCGAATGGAAAACTGGGATTCGGGTTAGGGTTTCGACCTTTCTTTCTTTCTTCTTCCCCTTTTCTCTCTTTTGGATTTGCGTCTAGGGTTCTCGGAATCCGACCCTCCCCTTTTCCCTTGTTCCGATTTGATTTAGGAAATTAGGGTTAGGTCTTAGGGTTCGTTTTTCTATTTTCTTTCCCGATCCGCATCAGATCGGCCTTTTTCACTTCCCTGATCTGATTTCTTGTCGAACCGTAGCTCCGATACCATTGTTAGAGTTTTCTTTTTAGGCATATTCATCAGATCAGGATACATAGTAGTAGAATAGGTGTTCGGGATTCACAGAGAGACAGAGAGAGAGAGGGGGTGATAGGTAGCAAACCATCGAAAGACGTAGTGGTCGAAGCTCCAGCCGGGGTTTCATTGACAGACGCCATCTGCGCGCCGACAGCGACGTTCGGTGGAGAGGGAGTCGGCGCTGTGGCGTCCTCGGCGGCGGCGTGTGCGTCGGGGTGGCGTTGCCGGCGTCGGTGGTGCTTCCCGTCGCTGGCAGCGCCCCTTCTCAAGATCGGGTCTAGGGTTAGGATGTCGGTGGGGTGACTGGCGGCGCGGTGAACCTCGTACTGCGAGCCCCGGCCCCCACCTTTCCTTTATAGCGTTGTGCGACGGGGGCCCATCAACCATGTAGGGTTGGGCGCCCCCGATCAGAGCGCGAGAACAAGGCCCAAAAGGCCGTTGGGCCTAACTGGTGGGAGATCAAACCTAACAGCCCAAGCATAGTCTTCTGGATGGTGAAGTCTGTGTAATAGCTTCAGCAGTAGGCATGCATTCTGGGTGTCCAAACACTTGATCCCTAGACCCCCGTCCTCCTTTGGCTGGCATACATTTTCCCAGGCAACCAGACATTGTGCGCCACTAACCTTGTCTGCGGCCACCAAAGGAAAGCACGGTGTCTCTTATCCAACGCCTCTCGGATGGCAGGTGGCAGCATCATAGCGCCCATGGCATAGGAAGGAAGGCCATCAAGGACCGAGTTGATCAAGACTACCCTGCCTGCTGTACTTAGAAGTGTCGCTCTCCAGCTGGCTGGTAGCGGTCGCAATCAGAGGAGCAAAGGCAGGCAGACGAAGTTTGACGTTGGACAGTGGAAGTCCGAGGTAGACTCGTGGGAAGAAACCTTCCTGGCATTGCAAGATGGGAAAATTGGTTTGGTAGCATTGAAAGATCGCTGTATCCGGAAAATACCATCGAAATTTTGCCGCTCCGTAAAATACCATCGAAAGAATGCAAGGTCACTTGGATATAGCATTCTGTCACGTTTGGAGCAAACGTCGTCGCCTCCGTCAAGCTCGTCCCCTTCTCCTTCCTGAGGTGAGCGCGGCCGCTGCCTCCGCTCTAGGCGGGGGGCCATGGCAGCGAGCTCCGGCGTCTGGCTGCTGCGGGCGGAATCGCAAGCTGGTGCACAAGCACGTTAAGCTAGCTGCCTTATGGTTCTGGCTAGGCGAAGGAAATTAAAGCGGTTTCGCATCGGTGCGTGCCTTGAGGAAGATGTCGACGGCGATGAGAGGCCGTCGGTGACGACGCGAAGCGTGGTCCGGGAGCAGCTCGGTGAGGGAGATGAACTTGGACGGGAGGATGTTGGAGTCGGCGCCACCTCCACGAGGTAGCTGTCCAGCCACTTGGCGGCCTTCACCAGAGGCTCGCTTGGGTGACCGCGGGCTATCGTGGTCGAACCTAGCGTCCTCCTCGTTGTGGTCATCGTCGAGGTTGAGGAACACCGAGAAGATGCGCGCCCCACCACGTCGTGTCGTCGCATAGCGTCTTTCTTTGCTGTGCCCGCCCGGCGTGGCGTGCGCCAGCATACCACGCCGGGCGGCGGCGAGTATATGTCCTCCAGGATGGCTCGGGTCCACTTCATGCCGATCCGCTTCTCGGTCGACCCTGCGCAGATCTTTGACGCGACACCAACATCGCCGTCTTGAGGAGCCCCGAGAGGAAGGCCATCGGCGGCACGGGGCTCTTCTTGGATCGCGCCGAGAGCAACAAGCCCACGATGGCCTCCACGACGGCGGCGCTGCTTCTTGACGGCGTCGACATTCAGCGGCGCCGCGCCGCCGCATTCTGTGCACGCCCACGCCATGAGCCCGTGCGTGAAGTTTTGCGCGTAGTTGATGAGGATCCGGGTCACCGTCTCTGCTTGAGCCCCTTGGCCTTGACCATGAGACAGGGTATTTGGAAGAAGTCGAGGCCGAAGCGCGACCACCGACTTGCCCCACCACGCCTGCAGGTCGAGGTCGGCGACGCCATGGCGGCTTTAGCCAGCTGCCGCAGACCGGTCTAGCTTGGACAACCCCGACGTGATATGCTCCTTGCACACGTTGCTAGCGATGGCGACGATGAGGCGGGGCAAGAGGCCGACGTCCTCGGCGGCCGGGAGTTTTGGTCCCTGAACTCTAATTTTTTTTTTGAAGAATAATCGTTTTGGTCCCTGAACTAATGCTCAAGGCTCAGTTTCATCCCTGAACTTTCAAAACGGCCATTTTAGTCCTTAAACTATACTTTTAGGCTCAATTTCATCTATAATTATAAAGATGATCGTTTCATTCCTCAAACTTTGCATATTGGGCTCAATTTCGTCCTAGAACTATAAAGATAATCGCTTCAGGCCTCAAACTTTACATATTGGGCTCAAAATGCAAAGTTAGAGGACCAGAACAATCATATTCCTAGTTTTGGGATGAAATTAAGCTTAAAAGTAAAATTCGAGGACTAAAACCGCCATTTTTAAAGTTTAGGAATAAAACTGAGCCTTAAAAAATAGTTCAGGAACTAAAATAACTATTATGTCTTTTCTTTTCTTTTCTTTTTGAAATGCAGTATAGGTATAGCACTGAATTTTCGCCAGCGAGCTGTAGCGAATGAAATAGTGCAGCCGAACACTGCGATTGCCACTTGAGTGAGCTGCGCACGTCCATTAGACCCACGTGCCAACATTTGACACTGACAGTACCGGAATAACCTGTTCAAGTGGTTGAGAAAAAAAATTAATGTGGAAGTGAAACCGAGCCGAAGACGTGGAAGAGACTGGGGAGACAGCGCAGCCACACAATCAATCACAAAGCGATTTTCATAAATAAAATAATCTATAAAAGGACTTTTCTACTGAGTCTGTCTATTTCACACCTATGTATTTTATGTAGTTTCAACACATAATTTTTTTACACCATAGGATTAAGATCCAACAGCTTCCACCCTTCTTCTACCTCCAGCTTCCGGCCTTCTTCTACCTCCAGACAATCACAAATCACAAGATCACAGATCCACATATCACAGATCACGAGAAATATTTTTTTCTATAGAAAGACAAATCACAGATCGCAGAGGAAGATGAGGAGAGGCCTACCTGGAGCTCGAGCCGGATCTGCTGCCGCCACCACCCACACTCCCCAGTCTTTCCCTTCCATTCCCTTTCGTGAGCCACACAGGCCCGACGCCGGTGAAGTCGCTGCGGCTGCCTGGCCTGGGGGCGGCGGCGGGGCTGTTGCCGGCCACCGGCGTCATCGAGTCAGGACGAGACGGCTGCGTTGAGGAAGCGAGCTCGCCGGTGCGGGCGGCCGCGAAGCGCGCACCTCTCGCTTCCGCGATGACATACGTGGAGGAGGGGACCCGAGCATATCCCTGAGCCCCGGCGGCCGGATACAGCAACGGACGCGATATTGAATCCGTGAAAAGCGACGGTCAGAAAAATCGTGTGTTAGCGGCCAAAACACTCGGTTAACTTACAGCAATATGTGGGTCCTAGACGTCATAGATATAAAAAATCTATATATATATATATTTTTTTTGTTAAAACAGATATGTGTCGTATAGCATTTCTGTTTCTGTAAAGAGAGAAAAATAAGAATCGATGATGATTAAAAAAAAGAGAGATCAACTGGGCAGGCGGCGACGGCGACGTGTGGGTGGTGGCGGCTGGTCCCAAGCTCGGGGCGGGCGCGACGCGCGAGCACCTCACCGATGCCGATGCTCCTCCCACCCCCTCCAGCCCTCCTCACCCAACTACTATCCCCCATCCCCTCTCCGCCCTCCTCTGGTCCTCCCCCGTCCGCGCTCCGCTCGCAGCGCTCCCCGCCCCTCCCCTTGCCCCGTGATGTCGTCGTCGTCGCCGCCGCCGCCCGACGACGACGACGGGGCGCAGGACGTGGGCGCCGACGCGGACGGCGGCGATGGGAGGTCGCTGGGCTACGGCGAGGCGGAGTACTGGGACGCGCGGTACGTGGAGGAGGGCGGCGCGCCGTACGACTGGTACCAGCGCTACGACGCGCTCCGCCCCTTCGTCCACCGCTTCGCGCCGCCGGCGTCCCGGATCCTCATGGTCGGCTGCGGCTCCGCGCGTACGCAACGCCCCCCGCAACCTGCTCCCTTCTTCTACTCTGTCTCTACCCATCATACTGTCAGCACCGGTAATAGCGAACGAGCGGAGTTACCGTTGCGGCGTTGCTTCGCTTTCTTCTAATTCCTCGATTCTTCCCAAAAGTAGAAAGCTCAAGTCAATTTTCTCCTCCTTGTTTTGCTCATAATAGTAAGTAGCTGGGAATGGATGCATTTGCACCGGTAGGCGGTAGTAGAATAGAACAGAAGCCAAAGCCGCTGTTTGGGTTTAGCCACGCAATAGTTTCTGCAAAAGTGTCCGTCCGTGGTGATTTGATTGCGCTTCTTTTTGTATCTTTGCTTAGTTACGTATCATCATGGCAACGGGACAGGGTCGCGCTGTCGCGCTACTTCTTTTTCTTCCAAGTCATTCTCTTGGTCAGTCCACGTGTTGGCATATTGCTTCTTCTGTTGTTTGCTCTGAATAGAATCCTGCTGCTGCTGTGGGTTGCTCTACGGACTACGGGTAGACCACTTGTGAAGTGAAGCAGTACTGAAATGGCATGCTATTGTTATTGATGTTACTCGTCTTCAAGCAGCAGCAGTGTTTCTTTGTTTTTCCTTATGTTGAACGTAGAGTCACACATCTCTGGAACCAGCACTTGGCTGTATGATTTATTTTCCTCCGTTGAGTAAAAAATAACAGAGCTGTATAATCGATTGTCTCAATCAACTCTGATCAGGCTAGTTATGCAGTACAAGTTTGTTTTTATCCTTGCCAGGCAAACCTCCATTGTTCATAATCTTTGGAGGTGTTTCTTCTTTTCCTTAATCACATTGTCCGTCCTAATCTACTAATCCAATTCCCTTTCTCTGGCTCTGCTGTCTGTAGTCATGTCGGAGGATATGGTCAATGACGGCTATGTGGAGATAGTGAACATTGACATCTCTTCGGTTGTGATTGAGATGATGAGAAAGAAATACTTCAATGTTCCGCAGCTGCAATGTATCCTTGACTATTTATCATTTCCCTTTGTTCGGAGCTGCAATCGACCTTCCATTGATACCCTTATGACCTGCAGACTTGCGCATGGATGTTAGAGATATGAGTATGTTTCCTGACGAGTCGTTTGATTGTGCAATTGATAAAGGTATGCATTCCTGCTATGATGTTCTGTTTGTGGCCATTACTGACACGCATTTGTAATTTCACTTACTTAACTTTGTTATTAAATTCTAGGTACTCTGGACTCGTTGATGGTAAGTAGGTATCATAAGTCACCGTGTCCTTTTGCTTATTTCTGGACTTCTTCAACAATGCCGTCTTGCTGCTTTCATAGTGTGGTGTGGATGCTCCTCTCAGTGCAGCTCAGATGATTCTGGAAGTGGACAGGTTTTTAGTGTCTTGCTGCCTCTCTGAAGTATCACTATGCAGTGTCATCTGCGCCAAGATATCTCGTAAATTTCAACAGCCCTGCAGCCTTATCAGTTATGTACTTTTTATTGCAGGCTTCTTAAACCAGGAGGAGTCTTCATTTTGGTAAACACTGTGTACATTTGCTCTGAAAGTAGTGCTGCTGAGGACGATTTGGGCCTCAGTTCTAGACTATTTCTCCATTTCTCTTCTTAGTCATGGGCCTATGGCCTTAGTCACTACACAGCCCATCAACAGTAATTAAAATGTTGAAACCCTGATATATATTTTGATTCATTTTCGTGTCTGGACTTGTAGATAACATATGGTGATCCATCGGTACGAGTGCCTCATTTGAATCAATCAGCATGCGACTGGGAAATTGTACTTTACATTCTACGTACGTATAAAACTTTAGTTTGAGTTTTTATCCCTTGCTTTGGAGACATATATGTTGTCTAACTGACAGTAAATTTTGTATATCGTGGTATGTTTCTTTTTCCTTTTGTATTGTGGTACAACCGTACAATGTTTAGGAGAAGGCTTCAACCCTTTGTTTTCATGTATAATGCAATTGAAGTGAGAACTAAGTTGATCTTTCTTGTTTTCTCATGAACATTGCCTGTTCCGTTACATAAAGTTACTAATATGTGTAATTCATTTCATTTAATTCTGGAGTACTGCAAGAGTTCTACTAATAGAAGAACATTGCCTATTTTCTTTCTTTATTTATTTTATCTATGAAGATGCTTTGGACCAAAGTAGTAGATTGAGATTCCTGTATCAGCCATACACCTTTGTTCCCCCATGTAATATTCTTCAGAAGAATGACATCTTTTAGTAGAATTAGTGGTCCATACTACCCCACATAGTGGTACAGAAAGAGGATAAATAATGGTATGATAAAATGAAAACAGATAGCTGTGTAAATCCCTGCTGAGTAAAAAAAAATGAACACCTTTATGCTCGCTTCATCATTGCTGTTTTAATGTATTGCAGCAAGACCTGGATTCACTGAAGAGATAAGGAGGCGTGTATTGGATCCTGTTCCACTGACAGAGAGGGGTAGACTCCCTGATGGATTTGTTCCAGAGGATCCTGACTCCCATTATGTCTATGTCTGCAAAAAGATGCAAGGATTAACAGGGACAGGTTCCCCAACTGTAAACCACATAGAGAGTCAAGGGGATGAATGAACTGTAGGCTGATTCACCCCACAAGATTTGTGGACTGTTATGATTTATATACAAGATCAGATGATGCGATGTTGCCACCATTGTTATGGCCATCCAAATCTAGAAGCGTGCCATTGCCTGCATGTATATTTAACTGATCTTGTAAGCCAATGTATTGTGCAACAGGTGTGTTCTTTTGCATTCTTTTCTGTATCATCTTGGAAAGCACGACGGAATTGTTTGGTACTCCCTCCGTCCCAAATTATCTGTCGTTTTTTTGTTTCTGTGCTGCAAGTTTGACACGATTTATAGAAAATACGTGCAACATTTGTATCTTTAAATACTTTTTTTAAATTAGATTCAAAGATCTTTCTAATGATACCAATTATATACCATAAATATTAATATTTTTTAATATATATTTTGTCGAAGTTGTTTCTCGGGAAGCGGGAAGCGAAAACGACAGATATTTTGAGACGGATGGAGTAGGAGAATGTTTTTTATTGGAAGAAAGGAATTGGCGCGGAACTGAAATTCTTTGTTTCTGCACGATTGAGATTTCTGAGACTTGGCCATTCCGCCATGCTTTAAATGCTATTTTTAATACTTTCAACTCATGGAACCGATGTTATTATTACATGATTCCTCGAGGTACCAACTCATGGAACCCCTGCTGGTCGATGTCATATGTCATTTTATGGCCTGATGACTGGTACTCCCCTCCTCCCAGAATAAATCAGTTGCCCTAAGTCAAATTATTTTAAATTTATAGAAAATGTAAAAATATTTATATGATATAAAATTAGTATAACTAGATACACCATGAAAAAATATTTTCATAATCTACTTATATTGTGTTATAAGTATTGTTATTCTTTGCTGGTTCACTGTAATGTTGGTCAAATTCAAGATAGTTTGACTTAGATGATTCTATGAGTTGGTGTATTTTGGGACGGGCGAAGTATCTGCAATTACACATTGAAGCAGCACTTCTTTAGCACATTTTTCTAGTGATGTTGATTCATTTCATCACTATAAAAAAGATTTGTTTGATTCCATCTTCGTTCGTGTACAGATTTCTCTCTAGGAGTATATGACTATATAATTGCCTTTTGCAGACCTGCAGTTACATGATCTGCAAGGTGCGTATGTTTAATGTTTCTATTTCTAACTTGATCTGCTTTCGCTTTCTCTCTCTCTCGTACTGGATCAAATGGATACATGTTGTTGTAGTGCTGCCGGTGCACTCTCTGTACTTCGGAATGCTAAGCCGACTCGCATGTTTTGCAGTCAGGGAGCGTTTTGCCTGCAAGGAAATTCTGGACAAGCACGAGCGCTCGCTTTGGCTGGTAGCTGGGCACCTCGTGGCCGGCTCCTCTCACGGTGACCAGGCTGAGGCTGCCCTTCTGCTTGCCCTTGTACTGCACAACGTAGCCACCCACCTGTCCGGCGCCCTGAAAAGTTCAGTTAGTTCATACCATAACATTGAAATGGTCACCACAAAATGCAAAAAAATCAGATACTATTCAGACAAAAAATGTTTTGCATTGTGCTTATGTTTGCTTTGATATTGCAGTGAAAGAACAGGGGAGGAAAGTGTTGAGTAGAGCACCTGAGTGCTGCTGAACCATGCCCTCCATTTTGCAGCAACTGGAAGCTGGAGCTGGTTGACGGAGTATCTGCTGGAAGTGACCGGCACTCTCCCATCGGTGTCGCCACTGCAAAAATCACAGTGACATCGTGCTGAGTGCTACTACTACTACGTTTCGATTTTCAGTTGCTGCATCAGTGGAGCTGAAAGAGATGCTGTGCTGGCGTACATACCTGTACACCCAGACCCTGACGTCGTTCTTGAGGAGCTCCGTGAGAATAGGCAGCACGGTCGTGGCGCTGTCAGTCCAGCGTCTCAAGACATCACTGAAAACAGATTGAACAGCTTTGTTTCAAAAATTGAGTTTTTTTTGGCAACATAATTAATAATATTAAACCATGTTCATCTGCTGCGGATAACTGCCGCTTCACATGGGCCCAATCAATTGTCGCAGCACGCGGCATGGGCTGGAACAAGTGGATCAATCATCACAGATTACTTCCAAGATGCGCAAGCAATTCCAGTAGGTCCATCCGTTTCCGTGCATGTTTTTTTCTGGATCCGATATGTGGAGTGTACTGCTCCATGCATACATTTAAATTTTATTTAGAACTGCATGTAATATAATCCCAAAGAACATGAACATGTATGGGGGAAATGCTGGTATATATATTCGTCATGTGCGTTGGATCACGCCTTCCATGAACCATGGGTGCATGGAAACTATGCAGACAGATAGCTGGCCCCGTTCGGATGGTATGGTTCTGGAGGAATTTGGATGGTCTGGAGGAATTCTGGAAGAATTTGTGAGAGAAAAACACTGTTTCGGATAAAAAAAGAAGTGGATCAAGCCGGGTTGAAGGGCACGCGAACGGGGCCAGCATTATCAGATCTTGGACTCCGAGTGGATGGAACACGCAATCATATAGAGAGAGAGTCAAATCAGGAAACCCTGATAGCGCTGAGAAAAACTATTGCCATGCATTCCTTGCAGTCTCATTTGTTACCTCGGGAAAACAAGTGCTAGAAAAAAAAGAGAGCTAAGATCCATGATCCGTCAGAAATGCATAGCCTCTTTGCCAGCTCGCCGAGGAGCACGGTTGGGTCCCCATTGGTTTGGAAGCTGGAGCAGCACGCAATTTCTGCACGCTTGCCCAACTCACTGAAACAAGCTGTGCAGTTGGTGAAAGTTCGAAAGCTTTTGTTTGAGCGTGGATATATATATATATATATATATATATATATATATATATATATATATCATACTGTTACGGACGAGATCTGTGGAAACTATTATTCAGGGCAGATGCACGGCGGCACTTTCTATTCTCCGTGCATGTGATGAACCTAATCCTATTATGTTATTATGAATAGTTATGCCCTAATCCAGCTCGATCGAACCTAGCGTGAACTGTAACGAACGAAATCAGTGTGGATTTCGTATGCCTTAAGCCAGGGCTTGTCTGAATGATTGTGCTTGACTGCTGCCTGCGTTGTGCAATATAATGTGCAGTGCAGCAGCTTGCTAATCATCTATCAGTAGACGGGTGACCGATGAAGCAAGCAAACAAGCATGCAAAAATATCTGCAGCCACGAAACCAATCATGCTCCGGGCCTAGCTGTTGCGAACATGAGTCCACCGGTGGCCGGCCGGACCACTTGGATGCTTGCGCTGTATTTCAACCAAATCATGTGCAAAACTATACAGAAATGCATATACGTGCTCCGTTTGAAATATGGTGAAATTCGTGAGTTCCAAATTAAACAGGCCAATTTTTAAAATTTTTGGGAGCAGTGGTACGGACGGGCGGGTGTACCTGCAGGCGGACCAGGGGTGGTCGAGGCGGGTGACGTTTGCGTGGAGCGCCTTCTGCACGTCCGGGTCGTTGAGGTAGGCGTTCACGTAATAATCCGAGCACGGATCAAAGTTGTCCATCTGCACCAACATTTATATATCTATATGTCACATTATTATTAGCTGATGATATTAGCTAGCGATGAGATCGACGGCGGGCTGACGTAATACGCACCGAGGGGGTGATCGGCGGCGAGACGAGGTCGGCGGACTGGCAGTTGGGCGCGTAGATGTTGTAGATGTCGATGTCCTCCAGGGCCTCGTCGGCCTCCGACGTCGCCTCGTCGCACTTGTCGGAGTTCGCGGCGGCGGCGCTGAAGTTGCAGTACCTGTCGATGGCGTCGGCCGTCGCGTCGGAGATGAGCGCGTGCGTCCAGAAGAAGTCGTACATGCCCTTGCTGTCCGTCCAGTCGTTGATCACCGCGTTCCCGATCTTCGCCCGGCACGACACGAAACCTCAGTTAATTAGTTGGTCGGCTCGTCCGCATCGTACATTCGTACCAGCATTATTGGCTGCACGGCCCGGCGGGGTCACGTACGTTACACGTACATACCATGATGCCCTTGAGGTTGATGGGCGACGACGACGGCTTGCCGGCGGCGGCGTGGCGGAGGATGGCGTGGGCGAGCTGCGGGACGTAGTGGCCGGCGTAGCTCTCGCCGGCGAGGTAGAAGTCGCGGCCCTTGTACTCGGGGAACTTGTCCATCCAGTTGAGCAGGAACTGGAGCGCGTCCTCGGCCGTCTTGTTGTCGCCGAACCGGCCGTAGTCCGCCGTCGTGTTGGAGTAGGAGAAGCCCACGCCGGCGGGGCTCTCCAGGAACAGCACGTTCGCCGCGTTGTTCCACGCGTACGGGTTGCGGTACAGCGTCTTGCCGTTGCTCTTCACCCGGAACGGGCCCAGCTCCTCCATGGCGCCGTACCCCAGCGACGAGCACCCGGGGCCTGTCCGTCCGTGTCCGTCCATGGCGGGAATCAGGGGATCCAACACGTGAGAAGAGATCGAAGCAACCAGCACGTGACGTGACCGCAGTTAAGTCAACCCAGCTACCCAGTGAGTGAGCAAGCAAGCCATACCTCCGTTGAGCCAGAGGAGGAGTGGCTTGGCCGCCGACCCTCCGCCGACGGCCTCGGCGAGGTAGTAGAAGAGCGCGCGCCCGGCCGCGGCGTCCACCGTCACGTACCCGGCGTACTGCTCGAAGTCCACGCCCGACGGCTGGCCTGGCAGCTTGTCCACGCGGTCGTCCTCCTTGCGCCCCACGGGCGGCGACGCCGCGTGCCGGGCCGCTCTGTCCGTCGCCGACGCGACCGCCAGCGACGCCGACTCGGCCGGCCACGACGACTGGCGCGGCGACCCGCGCAGGCGCGCCAGGTAGTCGCCCTGCCGCGGCCGCGCCGCCTTGGCCGTGGCGCCGGGGAGCAACGGCAGCACGAGGCAGAGCACTACCAAGAGCGGCAGTGCGGTGGTGGTGGTGATCCTCATGGTGCGTGCTCTGTCCGGTGGTTACGGTGCTGGGCGAGGACGAGCACGAGCACGTCGGGCCGGAGAGCATCCGGTATATATAGGCATGGACAT